ATCCTATGACTCTAGGGGGTGATAAGTACATGAGTGTAATGAGGATCCTAGGACTATACGAAGTGGTAAGTACACGGTTGTAATAGTTGTTGATTATCATTATTCAGGATCCTACGAGTATAGGGGGTGATAAGTACATGAGTGTAATGGGGATCCTAGGACTATACGGAGTGATAAGTACACGGTTTGTAATAATGGTAGATCATCATTGTTCAGGATCCTATGACTCTAGGGGGTGATAAGTACATGGGTGTTTTCGGACTAAAAAGTTTACCCCTCGAGGCCGTGGAGCTGCTCGTCAAAGAATCGCGCGAGCATGGCATGATCAAAGGCTGCGGCGGTGCTTTCATCGTGCAATTTCTAAAGGGCGAGGCGTATGACAAGGTATGTCAACAAACAGTGCAGGCAGAGTTTGAGGATTGGATACGCCCCACTTCATACTCCACAGATAAAGAGCGTACGCAGAGAATGTTTGAATATGTAGGACTCTGAGGAGAGAAGGTATGTTGCCTGGCCGGATAGTGCAGATATTTCTAGCTGTCTTCCGGTACCCTAGAAATTGTATGTTTTGTCTGAGTTAGCTATGCATACACTCTCAATTGTCAACCTAGTAGTTTTGTTTGAGTTCTGCTCATACTCAGCTTCACATGCCTCTGACTGTCCCTACATACACTATCGCCGCCTACAGGATTTCAGTGCAAAGTCGTGCGTGCCTTTCCGTGACGCCATTGCTTGGGCGGTGTGTGTTGCTGAATGGACTGGCTACGACGAAAATGGCCTGAAGCGAGAATCTTGTAAGGTATATATTCGCTTGTGGAATGAAAGGGTGGGGTTTGGGGGGGGTGCAGTATTTGAAATACTTGTATTTGACATTGCTAATCGCATTCACTGCACATTGTGTGATTGACGCTGCTGTACTAGGGATGGGTTCATAGAACCAAGAAAACTCTTCAACCGTGGCTGCTCGAAACCGCTCATGCCGTGGAAGCTGACGACTGTGTTCGGGTTTATACGAAGGTACACCAGGCTATTTGGCATTATTCATATGCTTGTATGCGTAGAGACATGCATACACATGTAGAGTACCGCGCCCTACCGTTCTGATGAGTATGAATATTGTCGAGTGCATGTGTACTCGTACTCTTTTTGTTTTTTTATAAGTTTGCCGGGTCCATCTCTTGTGCGCCGTTCCACGTTGGTTTAGTAACGCATATTCCTCAACTACTTCCGCCTTTGTCGGTAGGTGATTTGCTTGTTAAATACTCGTGCGTATGTTCATACTGACTCCTGTCGAGTATTTTATTGAAGTGCTCGAGTAGATGAAGTACATATACAAGCACATCACCATATGTTGTTAAGCTAGCATTTTTTTTCCCAAACTCAGGATATTCTTACCACGGTCAAGACTCTGATCGAGAAGTACAATCCTGATAGGGTCGTTCGAGGTCACAAGAAAGCATTCGGTATTGGTCTAGACGATTGAACGGACAGCGGGTCCTCGACAGTAGACCTGGCTATCATCGCCTAATAATTAAAAATAGAATTCGGGCATGTATTACTTCTAGACAAACACTTCAGCTTTGATTAGCGTGCCGCTTAGTTATGTTGTATGCACAAGTTTGCGAAACACTGTTGAGCGATAGTGACGGGCATTCAGTAGAACTTCCTGTCGTTCCAAAATAAATCTCTTTGACCACTCATGGTGACCACCGAAGAATAAGAGTTTAGAACTAACCACCAGTTTAGCCACAAGTTTGAATTGAGATCTTCGGTTCAGACTCGTCATAAAAACGAAGAATCTCGACACTCGTACGCTCCTTTCCGTCCGAGTGTTGAAATACACTGAATATATAGAACTAAGCAGCATAACATGCAGGGTACACTTTTCTTTCGTTTCTCGCTTTCTAATAACGCATTTTATTGTTCTTATAAGTGAGAATCAGAAAATATACTTATAGTGTTGTGCATACACAAGGACTGTTTATCAATGTGCTTGTAACTTTTAGTATTAACTATCGTCACTCATACTAAATAGCAAGATATGTCAAATACATAATATTAATATGCTCTTAAAAAAGTATAATATGTGGAAATATAGGAGAAATAAATAAATATGAGGAAATTATACAAGAGAAATAATAAATATGTCATATATATATTTTTTTTAGAAAAATAGTAAATATGAAAATGAACGAAATATAATTTTAGGAAAATATTAAATAAGAAGTAAATATGCCATATATTTTTCATAAATATGGCATATTTTATATAATAATATTATTCCTAATTTAAATATGTACATATATTTGTATTTCCTAAAATAATAAATACGTGTATAAAACGTTGCAAATAGTAATATGCACTTTTACGTTTATTTGTATGTGTTCCTCGGTCACGGTAAAGGGATGCCTTTTAATACTTGCGAAGATCGAAAAATATTTCAGTAGATGCATGAACAGTTGGCCTAGACCCCAGTCACAGTGGCCCAGAAAGAGAAATACCGTGTTCATCGCTGAAATGGAACCTTTTTACAATATACACGCACAATCGCACACATAAACAGAGTGTACTATCACACGTTTAGTAGACTCAAGTAGAGTTAAGGGAAACTGATAATAGCAATGGCAAGCGACTATCGGCGTCTATATCAATAGCTTGGTATCTGATCAACCATTGAACCACATACAATGCGCACTGTTATCATCGTCACGAGTTAGTAACCATTTTGGTTACACTCTCTCCCGCGAAGTCGATATTGTCTCGATTAAAAAACCAATTAGTTAATAGTGTATCAGATGATAATCATCAACGTTTTATGAAATGGCTAGCAGTTCTGAATTTCCTGTGCAATTTTTCTGTACACGGACTACTGTACTGGCTCATCACGCATTGGCTAAAGACACAACCTCCGTGGCTCTATGATATGCCCTGGGGTAATAATTCGACTATGGTTGTCGTCACCTCGATTACTTTTGGTTTCAATTTCTTCTCCTCGTGGGTCGCTTCGGTGTCCTTCTGTGGAGACGCGAACATCCTCCGGTGAAAGCTCGCGGACTCCTGTTCATCTCGGGGAGTTGCTTTTGTGCCGGATTGACTTTCATTTTCCAGTACCTGATGGTGGTGAGATATTTATTGCTGGTTCTCTGGAGTGCAGAGAAATACAACCTGTCACTGTCCTTCCTTATGGCGGAATATCTTTCGGTAACTGGCTTGCTGGCCTGGATAGTTGCAAGAGAGCGTTTTTTGTACGTATTTGTTAAGCATCCTTTTCGTCAGGATGTCCCTCTGTACGAATATCACTTAAGGGTGGTAGCAGGAACGCTTGTGGTGGCCGTGTATTCTTTCCTTCCCTACCTGATAACCTCATTGAATCAGGTCCCAAATGTGATATATTATGCATTGATTACGATCATCCCATGGCAGATTTCAATCGCGATGTTAGCCTATTACGTCTACCAGACCCGAACAAAAGTCCAGTCAAAGTTTTCTGATCATCGATCTAATGTCCGGATAGGATTTTTTCTGGTACTATTTTCAAACCTGATAGTACTCCGAGCGTGCTTCTTTGAGACGCACGATGGGCCATATAATGGACTGCTGCCGCATCGATTTGAACTTTTCTTCTTCTATTTTGCCAGTATGTTCAAAACATCATATACGATTACAGAACTGTTCCTGGATACTGTACTGATTTCCGGCTTTGACATCGACGTCGGGAGTCATGAAAAAACAACACGGACTGGGAACAAACTAGGCTACGGCATCGCGTCAAATGAGTTGTCAAAAGGTGAGACCCTCAGTCAATGTAGGGAACCTTGACGTACTCAAACCCATAGCCGAGATAGATACAAACAGTTCGCAAGGTTCAACGAACAGCACGAATGTGGAGTCCAATGTTTGATACGTGCTTTGGTTTTCTTAATCGCAAAATTACGTGAAACGACCTCTGAATTATGCTTAACTCCGGTGCTGAAGTGATATTCGTGGGAGTCAGAGCCATTCTCACTTATCCCTCCTTGAGCAAGCAAATGGGATAATGAGCGAGCAAATGGGATATCAGAAAGCGAGAATTGAAAGCAAAGTGCAACCTGCATGTTATGCTGCTTACTTGTTTTTATCCGGAGAATCTGCACACTTGGACGGATAGGAGCGTACCAGTATCAAGATTCATGGTTTAATGACGAGTCTGAACCGAAGATCTCAACTCAAACCCGTGACCAAACCGCTGGCTAAAGATCTAAACTCTTATTCTTCGGTGGCCACCATGAGTGGCGAGGGAGATTCATTTCGGAATGACATGTACCATTGAGTCCATTAATAATGATAATAGACAACTATTACATCCATGTACTTATCACCCTTAGAGTCACAGGATCTTGAATACTGGTACTAGGCAACCATGACACAGATGTACTTATCACACCTTAGTCATAGGGACCCTATTAAACCCATATACATATCACTTCCTAGAGTCATAGGATCCTTATTACACTCATGTACTCATCACCCCCTATAGCCATAGGGTCCTGGACAACTTATTACCCATGTGCTTATGTCATAAGATCCTGTATATTAGTAATCGACAACTATTACAAAGTATATATTACATATTTTGTATTGGTATCTTTTTAAATAGTTTTTTTTGCCACCTGTTATAGGCCGTTTATTTATCGAGTATATTCGTATGTACATTCAGTACATATACAAGTCTTCACATCGATGTACTGTGCTTTGAAATGCAACGTCTGCGATGAATATGAGCACTTGAAGCATGCTTAGTACCACTTGCTACCACGTTTAATGCGAAATTGAAGCACAATTCAACTATACTATCAGCAAACACAACCACTATACTTCGCCATACATGTACACAGACTGCATATGCCTCGACATATACGTGAACAGACCATAAACAACGCACCGTGAGTATCTGCACGTCGTGCGCTAAGTTACATAATATATATACCTGTATATATATATATATATATATATTTATATTTATATTATATATTATATATATATATATATATATATATATATTATGAGTATATATGTAAGTATTTATTTCCTTGTCAGATGAGTATTAGACTTTCCGCCTTTCTTCCTTAAGTTGTTTAGTACAGATGTATCCAATGTTCGGTTGACCCCTTCGATTTCTGCATGTACCCTCTTGGACGTCTGCTTCCGGATCGCACCGAAAATACACTGCATCGATGTTATGGAGGCACTGTATGAATGAAGTGTACACACTAAATGCGACAATTCTCTGGCAATTAGAGTCTCCTCATATGCGCTTGTACCTACAAATAATCTGCTGCTCTCTAGCGTTGAGTTTTTTTTATGAATTTGCTGTCGTGGAATGTCCTTATAAGTCGGCGGTACTCTTTGCCTGCCACTGTCTCCATCAAATTCGCGGTGTTCGGCCCCCGCCGATATGCACTTTTTGCTTGGTGTCATATCCACTAAACTGGGTGTTTGCGCAAGTATCATGTTAGTTCGAATTCTGCTAGGTGCATTAATTTTCTGATTTTGATCCTTCGGTGCTTGCGGGGTTTTTTTCGCATTAGCGATTCCTGGTTCTTGTTCCTCAACAGGATTTAGAGGGTAAGAATGTGCGATTGCGTATATTGTCGAAGGCGTGCTATCAGGTGCACGGGTAGAAGTGTCGGCAAATGGAGGAGTACTACGTGGCGTGTCTTGGGTTGTTTGACGCAAATTTCTGCTCATCACAGACATCCCGGTACTACTTTGCTCGCACATGACACTATCAGCATGTACAGCCTTGGATGGTCTCTGAGGATTCATGTGGTTGTATACTCTCAGGTGTGGTGGTAAGCACAGGTTTAATTGTGCCTGAGTGGCCATGGTATTACCGCCACCAATATCGTTGTATGTATATTGTACTCCATGTGTAAGTTCTCCATCCACAACGCGTGCGCGCGTAAATGAAGCGGGTGCAGATGGGTCAGTGTGTGACATTCTTCGTTGTCCACCACCTAATACAGCGGTATCATTACTAGGAATGCTTGCAAGGAATGTGCGCATGCACTGAGCAGCGGCAGCTACATGCTCCTGCTGCCAGCTGACTTTGCACTGGTTAATGCACTCGTGACAGTGAGTCGTGCCTCTAGATTGGTGAGCGTGCAACTGTGCGTGTGCATGGGATTGAGCCGGGTTGCAGTGGTGGGGTGTGGAATGAGTATGAGGTACCGCGGGAGTGCGTATGTCCGCATTCAACGGGACAGTCGAATCGGCTGCCAAAGACCCAGCTGGAAACGACTCCATCCCCTCATCGCATGTAGACGTATAGCCACGATGGTGACTGCTCACAAGCGATGTTACCATGGCAACGGTCCAGCGAAGCCGTAAGTACCTGTTCGATTGCATCTCCTGTGCAAAGGCGGAGTTGCAGGGTCAGAAGTGGGTGTATTATTCGTATGGAATAAAATTGACACGGAACATACCCTAAAACATATTATGGATGAAACACACGATGGTAGGCTGCTCACGCCCACACACATGTACGCGATTAAGTGGAATGTGCCGAGATAGATTTGTCTCATACGAGAGGCGACAGGACAAGCGGATAGACCCGTGACGTATCTGCAACGTATTAGTATGCTTGCCTTTTTCATTTTGCATAAGCTCGTTTCAGAATCATAAGCGACCTGCCGGGTTCCTGTGCACATGATGAATGGGTTGTGATCGTATCAGGAATCACGTATAACCACAGGTTTACATATGGATAATAATATTTAAGAAAATGCTTATCACAAAATTAATGTCCTAGTATATCGTTGTGGTACTACTCCTTTGCCGCGGATAACTTTAATATCAGGCACTCAATTCGGTTGCAGTTTGTTGTAATGTGTCCATGTCGTATGATCTCCTTCGGGCTAAATAGATACAAATATGACTGAAATATTGATCGCTTGTCAATCACCGATCCTTTGCATCGCAATACAGACAAGTGACGTACGTATCAGTATATGTGCACAAATGGTGTACATAATAAAATCAAGAGTATGCCGGGGATTCACTCGCAGCTAACTGATACTGCGTTAAAGGCTGACCGAAGGTTTTGGTGGATCGAGCCATGCTATACCCAACAATATGTGCAATTGTATATAATCCTATACTAACCATGAACAAATACAATTTAAGCACGGCTAAATACTGAAGATCCCTATCAATCAGCCTGCCAATATTTTCTCTCCATGAAAAAGAATGTATCAACACTGTCATGTACATATTAACATGGCTATACCATACAGTAGAAGTTTATACCGAAATCTGATCATATACAAACATACGCGCATCGGCGCTAGTCCTTCCCCGATGCAGATAGCACATTAGTCTGTGGAGGCACTCTGGGAATCGAGCGGTCGAAGCTGCTTCAGCTATGTCAGCAGTCTCGTGCATGTGAGAACCTAAATGACGAAGGCAGAGACAGCAGCAAATCAACGAAACGAAAATGGATCACGGAACAAAGAACTAGCAGTCAACAAGCTAGTATGATGAGCTGAATCCACTCCAAACTCCACTACAAAATCCAAACCAAAATTCACTATATTTTCTGGCACAAGAGCAGCATTTTGCACACGGTAAACCGCACTTGGTCGACGATACATGATTCCATAGGAACTTATTTACTATATTCTATCTGAAGCGCACAATTCAGACAATGGATGCTTATGCACTATACACCCTATCTCGGGCATTTGTGCGTTGAATTCAAAACATCAAAACACATACGTTGTGTGGTCACAACCGTCAACACAAGTACCGAAGAGTGTATTTCTATGGAAAAACGCAGTTTGGCGGTGTCAATTCCTCCATACATCTAAAAAAAATGGTTCACTCGAACCATTGCACATTCTCACGCACAGTACACATATAGCACATATTGCATTGCGCATTTGAAACTGATCTCTTCTTTGCTATCCGTGAAGCGGTAAAAAGAGGATGCAATGTGGCCGTGCTAGCAACAATGGGACTTATGATGTACAATACCTTGATTAAGCTGAAAGGCAGCCCTTACGCCTGAAACCAGAAGGGGAATCAGATCATAGGCGAATGGACAATCACATTCACGGCACGGACTCGCTGAAAACACGGCAGAGCTGACTGTTGGTTTCACAAACGAGTCACCTTCGCCGTCCACGTCCACTCTCGCATTCGACCCGCTTAAAGAGAGGTCCGTAGATCTAGTGTTGGCTGCTGTAGTTGATCTGCACATTGTGTTGACTGAAGATGCAGCTTTACTGTGATGTGCAGTTGTATGTGGCTTGTTGATGGGGTTGCAACGGTTACGTGGCATGGCCAGTGCAGAGAGAATGGGCCGTGCGGCGATGAGGTCCGTACAAGTGGTATCTGAGATGGACAAACCATTGCCTGTAGACACTGAGTGAGCAATCAAAATAAGAGTTTTCGTTATATGGGGCTCGGGGTGAGTGAGAGTTGCATTATCAGATGAATGTACCGAGGCGAATCATAGTTGGTAGCGTAGAATACAACATTCCTTGTCAGTGTCTGGAGGGCGAACGGAAGCCTTGTCACTATTAAGGATGTAAAAAAATCCTGCAATCGGGATACAGTCTTTAAGTGCGACTAAAATGAGACTGAAAAATTCATATTGAAACAATCAAATCCGGTTGTGTTTGCATATTTACGCCAATCCAAGTCGAAAGGCGTCCATAGATTCATGAACGTACTCCGAAACCTTTAGATTAACGTATGCTCGCATCCCGATTTCGGGATGCAGCACAACGCATACTATAGAGTTCTTGATAGTAGCTTTGCTACAATACATCACCACAAGCTCGCAAGTAGCAACGATATATGTATTTATCGATGACTTTTGAACAACATGTAATTAGTGACGACCTGGACTGTATTCTCCAGGCACAAACCCCTTTTACCATCATAAGTGACATTATAGTGACATTGAACCATCTTACCATCACCGACATAAATTTTCTCCGTCGCAGATATGGAACGGCGTGCTGCGAGAGACTTCAGGAGCCAGTCCGACAGTTGAAACCTGCAACGAACATATAGAGCCATCGCTTGAGCCACACTTCAGCTTCATCCTTGGAATACTGGATGGTGGTCAACCTATTCAATATTTTACCAGGACCGACACCATGAAGACACTAGATGTATTCGAATTGAGTATACGAGCTTATAGACCAGGGATGCATCAATTCATTGAGATTTAATGCCCCTACTTTTTTAGCTAACTATTAGTACCTCAATGGGAGCACAGAAGGATCAGACGAAGCCAGACATGTGGTGAACAAGCAAAGCATGCATTTCATATTCGCCGGCGATGAGAGAGCATCGTGGAAGTCCAGGAGAATGATCACCTTGATCCTGTAACATTCGAAGATAAAACACGGGTTCTTTACGAAGTGACAAAATCAGTACAAGCATCATCAGACACAGGGGAGATATAATCCATACATTGTTTATAGGAATGACTCTACCCAATATCTCACTCTGAAGCACAATATTGGGCGAATAGCTCGCATGCATGCATCTATTGAATTGTACATTTCCCACGAATCTCGTTCGTGCACTGCAAATCTTGGAAATCAGCCATCACATACATCATATAACACGAGAAGTGAGATTATCCCACCGAACACCCACCAGAGTCGCAGCACCAGTAAACGCAATCTTTTGACAGTCACGGGATCGCCGTGCAGTGAAGTTATGTAACGTCTGGCGATGGAGATCTCCAAGAAAGGCTTTATGACAAACTCCTGCTTCCGTTTAAACTTCTCCGAGGTGTCTATCTGCAAATGCAGAGAGAGGTAACCTACACAATAAGGCTTACGTACGTCCCGAGACAACGTTTGCACAAACTCAAATCAGAGCACAGTATAGCAATAGCGAGCAACCAACAGCCGCGATACAAAGCATGAATCATCGGCACACACCTTTGCATGCGGGCCTATCATCCTGTCTACGATCGCATCGAACGTACTGAAAGCTTCATAAGCCAGAATGGAATCGTCAGAAAACCGCTGTGTGATAAAGGCGAAGGGTGTGTGTTGGCCACAACAGATAGTCTGCGATATGGCATACGAGAGTAGTCTCAGAAAGACTGGCCTCGAGATGAACCTACTATTGTTCCAATTAGCAATAGTGTGTACATCCTATGCGCTACAATCTATAAGCAAAGGAGTCGTGCATTCCACAACTCTTTGTGACTTTATCAAGCAGCCATTTCCCGACAGTCAGTGCGGAAGAAAATGTCTGCCTGATATAGCTCTAGTTGTGAACTAATTTCATAACACGGATATGATCTTAATTTGTACAATAAATTCTAAACAGCATGCACTATTTACCTCATCCGTCCATGCCTGTAGAGAAGCCTTGTTGATTTCGTTCAGCGCATTCGACGAACTCAGAATTCTCGCCAGCACTCGGCAAGTACGCAGTCTCGCAAGGAGTACACTGCGCGCTGTATGCCAAGCAAATATTAGAGTTGAATATACACCTGATGAGTCATTATCACGAGAAAGGGGATTGTGAGAATGACTGGCCTACATATTGCTTTGACTGCAAAACAGTAGCTATTGCTGATCTATAAATGTCGAGTTCAATTCATGAGATACAAGTTTGTGTATTTAACTGACCTACAGACGGTGTAGGTGCATAACACTACAAATGCAAGTGAGCACAACACAGACGAGCTTGAAACAACTATTGAAACTGAGTCTACACATGGCAAGTGAATTCACTACAGATAAGCGCAAACAATTGCTAGAACTGAGTTTACACAGCAAGTGAATTCACAACAGATGCGCTTGCGTAATCAGCTGATCTAAAAACCATTGTGAATGCACAACAACTATTTGAGTTGAATACACAATGGCGTGTAGATTTCACGAGAGAGAACCCGTGTAGATCGAAGGTCTACATACAGTTGTACAAATGTGTCTTTGCAGTTCCACTCGTGCATATGCATAAGGACAGTCAGAAAATGCGCAGTGCCACAGCTAGATATACAATACATGTCTGTAGAAAACAGCTGAACACACAATACATGTCTGTGGAAAACTTCCGTATGCATAGTGCTTAGAGGTTTTGAGGTAAACCCTAAGCCGTAAACCCCTAAGCACTCACGCTGACAATCAAAATTATACGGAAATACGTGAAAAAAAAACCCCTAAACCCTGATGAGTTTCAGTTGGAACTTGGTGCTCAACAAGTAAATTTACTTGTTGAAAGTGCTTGAATTTACGTGCGTGCAGAGAGGCACGAAATTTGGTAAGATGTAAGAGATAGAGAATGAATTATCAGCACGCAAGTATGCCAGTTCAATATGTCATCAAAGCTATACAGATGTGCGTTCCACTGGACTTGTTTTTTTTGTAAAATCGGATCATAATCATATAATGCAACAAAACTCGTATTGTGAGAGGTGCCACACAACTATTCGGTGAAAACACAGAACGCACTGATGGCAAATCAAAGACTGGTAATATACTATAAAGGGAATGCACAAACCCCATCTATGCATACGCGAAATACAAACCCTACAATCGTCGTGCGCATACATACCTCCTGGTACCGATAATTACCGATGAACCCCATCCTATAGGTATATAAAAACATCTTGACAAAGACATCGCGGGGTACAAACATTCACGACAACGCAGACATACCCGATATGGCACTCAGTTCTCCCGTTGCGATTGAATGCTGATCTTGTAAGTACGTCACACACCCTTTTGTAATGGACATGCGCTCACCGGGACACTCGTTGAACAATCTTTGCAGCAGTTGAGGTGCCTATGCAGGTGCGTAGAGCGACATTTTCGGATATGTGAGGTGTGTGGTGAGATGATATATGCACGAGCTATATGCAATTAAGTACATGACATACAAGGAACGACACTTCTATTCGAAAACAAGATATCCATATCAAGTACCGGTATCCACTGACGCAAGTGACGGCAGAGTTGGTAGACGATTGTACAACCGTTATAGACCAAAAATCAATTCAAAATTGTAATACCAGATAACAAGACGATACTGCTACTGAAGTCAAGACATAGATACACTTCCAGATATCAGGAAATACACACATATATATACGTGCGTTCGAAATATACATATGCAATATATCTATCCCTGCAAAAGCTGCCTGCAAGCAACCAAAAAAGATTGTTACGAGTATATAATCCTTACCAACGAACGCACAACGCCTCTATCCGACTGTATCCCAACACACAGGGCTTTGATCAACGGCACGATTGCCGCCCCGATAGCTTTCCTCTCTTTCTTATTCCGCGCACCTCGAGAGGCATCCATCACAACGCGACCCAGCAACCGATAAATTCGCTTCAGCACACACACGGGTACTTGAGTGTGCTGTGGATGTGTATTTGCCCACATATGTCCGCTGTCCTGTTGTCTGCCGCTGTGGGTATTCCTTGAGAGCTCTCCTGGATATATATACATATATATTAGTGAAGTCGGCCAAATTAGGAATATTCAGACATTGGTATTGAAAGAATATGCGGTTGTTCTAGAAAGTAGAGAAGACGTGGAGAAGATTGTGCCAGACGATATAGTCAAATTGATAAATACTACAAGGGTGTAGTCACAACACCATCTCCTGGTTCTGGGGTACAGATAAGACTGATCAAGGAGTTTGTACCAGGCGAAATGGGCAATATTGAGAAATTCTACAACAAAGTAGTCAAGACACCATATCCCGGTTCTGAGCTATAGAGAAGACCAGTCGCGGTGATTGCATCAAACTAAACTTTTGGCATTGAGAAAATTACTGATTAATTGGCAGTAAACAATTCTACAGCTTGACTCCGCATTGGCACAGACATGTACTTCATGTCCATTTTTGCATTAGTGCGGCGACTCTACGAGCATACACAGGAAAGAAAGTTGAAGTAATGTACGATGGCCCTATTGAATGTACCCACAGGAGGTGCCAACATGAACTCGAATAACTAGGTCAGATTGTGCTGGAAGAGACGTTTAAGGGTGAGCAGGATGAATCAACAACATATCGGGTTCTTCGAACAGAAGTACGTGAGCAGCGCATTGAGGTGTGATACACGTATACAGGCATACGCTTGCAATGCAGGCTCGTTTAAACGGCCTAGCACCTTTTTAATAGAACTGTGCCATGAGGCATGTATTGTCATCGCGACTATAAACCTACATTGATAATTCAAGTATGTATATATGAACTGATATGTATGCACAAATACAGTTGCGAGAATTCAGGTAAGAAACAACATACCTAGCATCGATAGCAACGACACGCTCATGTCCTGTAGCAACTGCATTCCGTACTTGCACCAATTGATCAGACACTCTAAGATCTGAATGGGGGATTTATTTCAAAAAGCAATTAGGTTATAGAATTAGCTAAGAAAAAAATCACGTACTCTTGGAAGAGTTTAATCTGACGTTCATACTCTCAGATTAGTCGGAATTGTCAACGTTTCGTATCATAATCCATGCCGTCAAAGTGACAAGGGCATAACCAGATTGAAAGATGTGCTGCACTTCATTTCCGCTTGTTTGCTATTGTTCCGCTACCTAACCATTGCTATGTTCAGATCGGTTACTAGGGCTGTAGAAACGTTGATCCTCCGTGGGTGTTGAGGGGGACTTGTTGTGGGGTTAAACGATGTAATTATGCAGTGTTTCTATGCAGAGAGTTAACGAATAGCCGCAATACTGCTTCGCAGCTCCTGCTGTTGTCGACGATCATCGTTCGCAATTTCGCCGACAAATTCAATCACATCGCCGTGCAACATAAACAAGTCACCGGATCTACAAATGGACTCGGAGTTTGTGACTTGACATAGCTTGAGTAGAGAGGCTCTACGCAAAGATAAAATATCGATTACCCAATGGTGTGCGCCACCTCCACACAGTGGCAAACACACATTTGCTAAGCTGCATAAGCATGCCAATCATGCATCTCCCACACTGGGCTGTATATTTAGACTTCAAAATAAGCAAACGGTGATGTAACATTTTGACATGTCCCATACCAGTACTCGTGTGTATACGTCTGTGATCTCCGCAGAAAGCGCTGTCAGTAAGGCTCGTCGGGCTCTCGTCTCCGGCTTGCCCTCAGACACATCGTGCGGGGAACAGAAAAAGGGGCAGCAGTACAGAACATTCTATTCGATTGCAATTGCGTGTAACCAGAGAGATACAAGTACGTATATTCATAGTTGAATGAGTTCACAGTGTTTTTCTTATTCTGTGTCTGTGTCTTCTCTGAAATACATATGAATTTCTACACAAGTGGTGAAAAAGTACAAAACTACTTGTTGATAATCGCAATACTGAAATATAAAGGCATGATTTATACCAAAATAGGCGCATAGTAAAAACTTAAACATTGAAACATCAGTCACAAGCGGTATATCCATGCATATGCTTATCAGAAAATACTTCTCCGATGAGGCATTCAAAAAAAACCCACGATTAGAGAACCAGAGCATGTGCACGACACATGATCCCGAATTTATCAACGACTTTGGCCAGCCTAAAGAACAATATGTATTGTACTGGAATACTACATGCAATGATAAAATTGACGTGGATTTGTGGGATAGCACTATATTGTCAACCAGGGACAGGTTGCCCGCAAAGATGCATCAGGTATAACGAATCAAGTACACGGTAATTATAGCACTAATGGTTTCAATCGATCAGCAGTCTATCTTTGGATACAACGAAACTGCATAATACACGTCCTATGTAACACCCAAAAATATTCAGAGACAAACGATGCAATATATCTCGGATGAAACACATAGCATACGAAAACGACAGTTTGGACCATAGAAAACATTCGCAAAACCCGATGACAACTTTTGAATATTCATACATCATCAGACAGGACAAGACGTATATACACATACACACATACGGTTGAAATCACGTTCACCGATGTATGCACGCTTTCAGGCGCTATACCAAATACTCCTGCATTCAGTATGAAATGCATACCTGCAGTATCTGCTTACTTCCAGCACTTCGACTGAGAACATCTACCAGCACTTCGTAGTACTGGGTTCGGTGCTCTGCATACACATGGAATGTAGAAGTTGCTGCACACACTTCGGCACTTTCACGAACTGTGTCGTCATCGAGGCGTGCATGAAATTTCTCGAGCCGGTGTACGCATCTGTGTGTAGAACGAGGGGAACATTGTAAATTTAGATGTGCACTCGTATGCTAAAATGTATATCTACAGACATGATCTCAGTCAGTGCATTCGTATGGGAAATTATATATACACAGACTCAATCTTAGTTAGGATAAACACCAGAATATGCGACATAGTGATCGTCCAATGTTACCTGCAGTGATATCTCACAAACAGCCCTAGTGACACTTATCGGCTTGGACCTATGCTGATATCATATGGGATCATTCACTTCATTGACACATCGAAAGTCTGTCATTAATTCTCGCCACTATGAATGTTGAAATAAGATGTTCCAGGATTTGCACCAACATGCAACTGATAGAGAACTTTAGACTTTCTAAATTAACTTATTCGGGTACGAAGGAACGTGTAAAATAGTATGCGTTTGTAATTCTGGTAATTGACCCTTCGAAACAGCAGACAGCTTCATGCTAGGACTACTACAAGAAAGGAAGTTAATCGTAAAGCACAACAACGAGCGACTGACGGAAAACTTCCGGCTTGTGGCATAATTGTTGAGGGTGCGAGAGAAGAATGATATTCAGATATAAAGGAACACGTAGAATAAACTCATTCGGATAGGAAGGCACATATCAATCAACTCATTTGCACACGGAGAAACATTATGATGAACTTATTACGATACGAAGCAATGTACAATACAGTAAATATGTACCAACTTGAAGCACTTGTCTTCTTACCTTCGTAACTCGAAGGAGGCTCTCATCTGCTTATGCACACTGGTGTGACCATCCAACAACGTAGACAATGCGTCTCTCAGCAAAGGAATGATTGCTGACCGTGGATTGTAATTGTGTGGCACTATTTCAGCACACATTGTATATATTCGAACGAGTATTTCTATCAGCAAATGGGCACGAATGTTCGTATGTTAAGATAGCCCAAATTGACCACCTCTATAAGGAAGTATGCTAGGATGTTATATATATTGTGCGTATCAAAACTTGCACGTTCGATTGTAAAAGATGCAATATGAATTCACTGTCATATAGTCTACAACGAGCTTGATTTCCCTACGTGTATTTATACAAGATTCATAGATATGCTATATCTTGTGCGTAGCAAAACCTGCATATTCAAGTTACTTTCGAGAGATGCCATTTGTATATAGTCTGCCATAGCCTAGCACAGCTCGTACTCTATATGTTATTGATAGATTTGATCTAACGGTGTGTATCGTACTCTGCACATCCATGTGCGAGAGGTGCTATCCGTGTTCGCTTTCATGCAGTCTCAGATGGCCTAGCGTTAATTACGTGTATGTGTCATGCAGTGCAAGTTGTTCGTTTGCACAAACATGCAGTCTGCACCTCTGCGGTCGCCTAGCGCTGCTAGCGTGTATTTAAATGTTATAAACATTCTCATCACAATTCACACACGAAAGTTTATCGCACACGAAAGTATGTATTTATACAAATATTTAATGTACGCGAGAATGACTCACAGTAAACACTACACGGTCACAGACTCACAGTCGATAAAGCCCGCGAAAACTTAATATGGTAAAAAATCAATACAGTGAAGTCAATAAATACAGTGATGTCCATACATACCAGAGTATACCACTTTGTATTCTTGTTGACGTTATTTCAAACTCTCTCTCTACTATTTAGTAGTGGTCTCTTATTGGGATCAGATGAAAATGTTCATAGACAAA